TGTATATATATATATATATATATATACAGTGACTTTGAAAATAGACTAGTTAGTTCTTCAGAAATTACTTATAGTAGCATGGAATTACAAATATGATTAAAAAAACATTAATGTAGAGAGGCAATTCAGCTAAGCTAATTTTATATTGAGAAGAAGGGAAAAAAAAACCTTAGTTTAATTCATTCAATAAAACTGTTGGTGGTATACATGTTTGTGTATAAGCCAGTTATACTTTGTAAAAACAATGTGTAAGACCATTTTGGCAAATCAGAATTTTCTGCAGTATTTAAGTCACACAGAACTTATAAAATGTCAGAACTTATAAACACTAAAATGAAACGCATACTAAAAAAAAAGATTCACATTAGAAACATTTGAATTTTTCTAGTCATATTGAGGAACAAGGATGTTGATGTATTACAGGATGATTTGGAGCAATTAGTACTTTGAGCAACTAATTGATAAATGATCTTAAATCATAATAAGTGCAATGTAATACATTGGGAACATTACAATTTGATCACATTATTAACATAAATTGAAACTTATTTAATAGCTTTCCTGGAAAAAAAAGGATAAGTCACTCAAGCCATATAGGCAGTGCTCTGCTGATAATAGTAAAGCTAACAGAATTTTAAGATACATTTATAGATATACTAAATGCAAGCCAAATGGTAAATATTTCTTCATACAAATCATTATTGGCCTCACTTGGAATATTAATATTTGTGTGCTTTTAGTTTCCTTATTTAAGAAAGAACATTGACTTGTTGGAATGGTTTCAGAGGATGAGTCTGATGATGGGTTATCTTATGGCTATAGGTTGTCTCCACTTATTTTCTTTCAAGAAAAGGAAAGAGATGATCTTATTGAAGTTTAAAAGGTTACATGGGAGATCAATAGAAGGGTTTTTGATATATTTTGCTGAATTATAAAAACAACAGGAAAGGAGGACAAAAGTTTAAGATGTGGAAAAGACAGGCTAGGCTCCAGCTAATACTACTTTATTTTACAGAATGATTAGTTTAAGGAATGAACTACCACCAACAGCAGTGGAGACTAACAATTTGCAAGAGGTTAAGAGGAGAATCAATCAGTTCCTGAGAAATAAAGGCAGAGTTTAATTTATTTTCAATTTGGTGGGTGTATAAGGACAACCTTAAATGATCAAATGGTCCCTTGCTGTTTGTACCTTTCATCTATGATAATACATTTAAAAATGTACCATAAGGTAATTATTTTCAAAATAATGAATTGTAAATGAATGATTGGCCATGAAAAAAAAAGAAAAAAGATAGTGAAGCATTTTCACCAAGGTCCTTTTAAGGGGATGGATTTAACTGAAGAATACTTTAAACTGAATAACATCAACTATGCTCACTGTTTGTACACAAGTAATTTTTTGTATTTTACTCAACTCACACAATGGAAAATTATCCAGCTGTGACTTTTAAATAAAAGTAATTAACACTATCATTCCAAGTTAGTTTTCAGCCTTTAATTTGTAGAGCTGGAGAAACTAGGAAATATAAAAATGTGGAGTGTAATTAATCATAATCAATTATAGATATCAACTGTACCTTCTTTCCACTTCTCTTATATGTTTCAATTTCCACCTGGTTTGATTTTTACCCACAATCTTCATTCTTATTTAAATTAGACTACTAAACAACAAACTTTAGTACCATTATTCTAATTTTAAGATAAAAATGTATAATAACTACAATTAGTGCTTTGATTGTTATTATGACTTTTCCTCATTAGCTTAAATATCTTTCTCCACTTCTTGGTTTTTAGAAATTCCTGTCAGAACTAATCATTCATCCCTCAGTTTCCAAACTTATTAAAGTAAGTCACCTATTTTTGTCACCTAAGTAAAAAAAATCTTGGCTACCATGTAAGCTAATGCCTGTGGCTTGACTTGTAAATGTCAAACATTCCACATTCAAAACACATAACTCATCTGTCCTCATTCTTAAAAAGCAACCTTCTTGTATGAACAACTGTTGAGTCTCAAGAATTTGAGATAAGAAGAGTAAGATGTTAGTTTAGTTGTAGTATTTAAATATAACACAATTTTGGATAATGTTAGTACAATGAATTAAAAACTGATGCTCTATTAAAATTCATCTTATCAAAAATTAACTCCATTGTCACTGCCAGATTTTTGTAAAACATTAATATCCTCTGAAATTTAGGCTACATACTGAAGAGACATTCTACTATTTCTAGATAATTAAAACAAAAGATCTTTAACTTATTACTCAAACACTTAAGTTACAGGTACCAAATCATATGTAAATAAAATTTTAATAAGTATGCTATTCCTAGAACTACTTATAAAATAGAGGGAAAAATAGCACCATACAAAAGCATACTATCAAATGATCTATATAGTATATAACCATAACTATCCAAATTCAACTACAACCCCCTGTAAAAAGCATATGTACTAGTTTAAATGTGTTAGTACATCAGCATAAACATTACAACCTAACTTCTAACAACAGTTCATGCTCAGAGCAGCTGGATGTTTAGCTAAATAAATAAATTACTTTGGAAGTATCTTGTGCCAAATTAAATTTCCACCACGCACATAGACGTTAGATTTAAAAAACGTACGTGTAATTTGTAAATGTTACTTAATAATGTAAATTGTATACGATACATTTCGGGTTGACGTAGTTTTTCAATACAGGTTAAATACATCATATAATATTTATATAATGCTATTAATTATTACATATTAGTATTACTGCCATGCCGTATCGATGTTTTCTCCCTAGCTCTACATAATACATTGTCAAACTGAAGTTAACACTTATACATTATTAGTTTACATTAATTATAGTTAATACCAAATTACAACTTATCTGTTATCACTAGTTCAGTAGTTGCAACTTACAAGTTACAGTACTAAGTTAGGCGATACATATGTTTAACTTCATATATTATAAAAATTTAAACGTTTAGTCGTTAATATTACATTTACCTTCGAAGCAGTCGCCTATGTTCTGGTATTACTGGTAAATATTATGTTACTAACACCACAATGTACAACATAGGACCTCTACTAATGTTAATTATATTATAACACTTTCTTTCCGTCAAGTATACATCTTAAGGAGCGCCATCTTGTGAGCAGCGAGTAGAATAGTATTACATCCGGGATCTTTCAAATTCCAGAAATTCCTTTTCCAAGCTTCAACCACCCTAAATGAAGTTTTAATTGTAGAAAGTTAGAAGAAATATGTCAGGTAATAATAATAATGAACTCTCAACTTTTTTGACATAAGCAAAAAAAACTTTGAATTTCTTAGAAGGGAAAAGTAAACTTATATAGTATTTTTATAAGTTAATAAAACATTCATTTTAAACTAAATTTTCAAAATACATAAAATTTCAAAAGCTTACAGGATAACATTTGTAAGTTTTCACAAACAAATTATATATAATAACTTATATTTCATACACAAATAGAAATTGTAAATAAAGATAACAATTCAAAGAAACAGCAATCAGTTAAACTGTCAGTTATATATGTTGAACTTATAATTACACTTATAAGAGATATTTTAATTAAAGCATTTATAAACTAAGAAACTAATTAAAATTTCACACACAAAACTTGAGATAGTATAGATTTATGTGAAAACAAAAATAAAAGAATTATTTCATAGATAGGTTAGGGCGCTCAACTCGCAAGCTATAGGTCGCGGCTTCGAATCCCATAATCTAACATGCTTGCTTTTTCAGCCGCGGGGGCATTATAATGTTTCAGTCAATCCCATTATTCGATTAAAGTAGCCTAAGAGTTGGCACTCCCTCTAGTCTATTACTTTTAAATTAGGGACGGCTAGCGCAGACAGTCATCGAGCAGCTTTGGGCGAAAGTCAACAAACAAATAAAACAAACCAAGGCATGTAATTCAGCAAATAAGTTATGGAAGTGGAAAGGTTTGAAATAATTAACATTTAATTACAAAGACAAAATATAAACTGAAGGCTTAAATCAAAGTAATGTAATTTATATGTTAAAATGTTGACAAAACACTAATACTTGTGAAATTGATCAGCAGAGAATAATAATAAAAAAAACAAAACTGAACCTTTTCCTCCACCTTAAAAAAATTCAGAAACTGTTTTAACTACTTCTCTATCATAAGGTAGCGGGAAAAATCTGAAAATCCATAAGCATGACTTCTTTGGTGAATGTGAGTCTATGCCATGTCATTCTAAAAATTCGGGACACACTTAAAATCTTGTATTAATCTATTTAGATAAACATTTTGCCTTTAAGCCCGGTATTAAAATTATGTAATTTACGTATCTATACCACAAAGCGACTTGAATTTGTCTTTTTGTCTGTCCGTAATGGACATTTTCCAACTTTACATCCTCTGATAAACATGAAAATTTCAAGGGACCTTAGGGGATTCTAAAACACCTTTATTATTTTTCTAATTTATATGAATTTGTCAGCCATTTCACTTTCACCTCTCTGCCGTCGCTATTGCAGGCGAATGGCACACATGCACGCCGTCCCACCATCGTCATTAGGCCAACGAAGTATATGTCACACCTAATTGCGGTACCTTTGTTAATGACAGCTACATGCACAAGATATGTGCAAAAATACTCTTGTATATAAAATTCCAGAACTTCAGTAGAACAGAAGAAGTCTGAATGTTCCTCAACAGATACAACTAAAATACCACTTGTCTTTATCAGACACTCTTCGACATTTGCTCATGATGATGGAAAGCCTGCTTTCCTAAATTGCTCAGGTTATTGGATTTCTTTTCTGATGCTAAGTTTATTCTGTTGATTTTTCGTGGTTTTGAAGATTAAGACTAAAATTTCACTGATGGACAGATATGTTATTATTCTAGCACCTACGTAATGATTTTTACGTCGTCATTACTCATATATATATAATAAAAGTTAGCCTTGTATAACAATGAATTGATGAAATTCTCAAAAGTTACATTTTCGTTTCAAAATTCAGTGAAATATTTTATCGTAGGGAGATCTAACATTGTAAAGAACGCGTATATTATAACACTTGTAGCCAAATGTTCCAGAACATAATAGAGCTACATTTATTTATTTATTTATTGTAGAATTAGAGTAAAATGCCATTCTTGTTAGAATAGCTCTTATATTTTCCATTAATTATTTGTTAAATGGCATAAATGTAAGAAAATTATTTGATTATATTCTAAAAGCGTATAACAAAAGTATAATAAAAAACTCAGTAAATTGATAACTTCCTCCTAATATCTTTGTACATATTTTTTACTACTGTATTCATATATAAACATGTGACACATTAGTTCAACGCACTTTCTTCAGCAATCTTAGTTTAAAAAAATAACTCAAAGATATCAAGTTGAGACAAGGTACTTAACACGAAGACCTCTTTTTTTTTAACAGTTTGTAACTCAAATTTATTAACGATTAAAATGGTCTCATATGTTGTTAAACGGTATTTCTTAAAATACTTTTATCGTTATATTATATTACTTCTATAATTAAATCCTTTGTTATGTATATTTATTGATAATAATGTAACGAATTTCTCAAAATGCTGTTAAAAAAGAAATATATCTAGTATTATCAAGTAAACTTCCTTTTAAATTAAAAATAATTCCGTACAAACTGATTGCAGGATATGTGGTTAACGTTAAAAGAAAATTAAAATTTCAAATTACAAGTTAAATTTAATTTCTATGTTTGCCTGATAAGTCTCTTAGAGTTAAAACAACATATGAACGTAACGATTAGCCTCGAAAGCTTTTGTTTTATTTAAGTGTCTTTACAAATAATCCATTTTCAGATAAAAAGCTAAGAGCTATGAATAATTACATCACTGCACTGCTCCTGTGTTCCTTCAATTAATCATTATATCACGGTAACACAAAAATTCATTAATGAAGCGAAGAAACATGTTCGCAACAATCACGACAAGCACAAAAAACAAAAACGACCCAATAGATGGCAGCACAAACCTATAACCAACTCATGTACAGGTTTGATTTGGCATCAATACAAAAAAAAAATGAATATATATATATATATATATATTAATAATGTAATTTAATTACTTCATTTCATTTCGGTAGTTATGTACAATATTTTCACATATATACTACAAGCCATATCAACAAAACCTTTAGAAGTTTATTATTGCGTTCATCATATTAGAGACATTAAGTAAGATCTTAGACAGGAATCAGGTAAAGCGAAGTTATTCATATTGTGAATGTACAAAATATACGTTGAGTTAAATACAATTAGCTACTCTACCTGTATAAGAGAAAACGAGGTTTCCTTTTATGCATACGTAAAAATAGATCACAGTTGCATCACAGAGCGCTCTGTAACCACCTCTGAAACTTACAGAACACAGGCTTGTAGAAATTCGATGACGAGGAACCCACTTTGAGACTAATAATGGTTTTGATGTCGTGTCACTCTTCACCGAAGTCCCCGCCAATGAAGCTTGCAATATTACACTCAACCTCTACATCAATGACCCCAACAAGCACATCCCCAGCACACTTTTTGCTTCTCTCTTAGAATTTACAACGACTAAAACCAACTTCATTTTCAACAACGAACACTTCCTTCAAATAGATGGTTTAAGTATGGGCAATCCTGTTTCGCCCGTTCTTGCCAATATATTTATGTTTGTTTGTTTTGAATTTCGCGCAAAACTACACGAGGGCTATCTGCGCTAGCCGTCCCTAATTTAGCAGTTTAAGACTAGAGGGAAGGCAGCTAGTCATCACCACCCACCGCCAACTCTTGGGCTACTCTTTTACCAACGAATAGTGGGATTGACCGACACTTTATAACGCCCCCACGGCTGAAAGGACGAGCATGTTTGGTGTGACGGGGATTCGAACCCGCGACCCGCAGATTGCGAGTCGAGTGCCCTAACCACCTGGCCGGGCCGTATATTTATGACCCAGATCGAAACACAAGCCATACATTCTGCGCTTCATCCCCCACTATACTGGTACAGATATGTCGATGACACTTTTGCTGGTTTCAATTCTACAGAACACACACTAACTTTCTTTAAACATATAACATTCATCCCAACATTAAATTTACCATAGAATACGAAAACAATAAACAGTTATCTTTTCTTAACCTCAAAATTATTAGATCGGACACACAGTTTAAAACCAGAATTCACCGCAAGAATACACACACTGGCCTCCACATCTCCTGGAATTCCGCTCATGACACCACACAAAAAATCAATACACTTAAAATACTCATAAACACAGCTACAAGACTTTGTTCAACGGACTACATAAATGAAGACATTAACCACATAAAGCATTCCTTTATTCACACCAATAAATTTCCAACACCTATTGTTGAAAAAAAAACTATCCAACATTCTCCACAACAAAACTCAACTCGCGAACAAAATTGATACTAACAAACCCAACAACAGTACATTACACTACAGTTTACCTTTTGTTCCTGAAAAAAGCTCAAGAATTATCCACACTTGCACAAAACTAGCCATATTCCTGTCAACGTCAAATTCTCACAAAAACCCGGCCCTAAATTAAAATCGTTACTAAACAAAAATTATTTATAACCACACAATACCAACGTCATTTACAAAATAACTGCCCAGAATTCTGCATCGGAGAAATAGGAATAAAACTGGAAACCATTGCAATTCAAAAAAACATAGCATATCTATTAAAAACACAGCCATTTTA